ACTGCTGTCAATGATTCGCTGTGTCGAAATAAAGCTACGGATGAAACTTAAGGGGATAAAGACCAAAGACAATAGTTAAGTCTTTAATGTATAGACTAGACTATAGACTAGACTATAGTCTAGTCTATAGTCTAGTCTATAGTCTAGTCTATAGTCTAGTCTATAGTCTAGTCTATAGTCTAGTCTATAGTCTAGTCTATAGTCTAGTCTATAGTCTAGTCTATAGTCTAGTCTATAGTCTAGTCTATAGTCTAGTCTATAGTCTAGTCTATAGTCTAGTCTATAGTCTAGTCTATAGTCTAGTCTATAGTCTAGTCTATAGTCTAGTCTATAGTCTAGTCTATAGTCTAGTCTATAGTCTAGTCTATAGTCTAGTCTATAGTCTAGTCTATAGTCTAGTCTATAGTCTAGTCTATAGTCTAGTCTATAGTCTAGTCTATAGTCTAGTCTATAGTCTAGTCTATAGTCTAGTCTATAGTCTAGTCTATAGTCTAGTCTATAGTCTAGTCTATAGTAGTCTATAGTCTAGTCTATAGTCTAGTCTATAGTCTAGTCTATAGTATAGTCTATAGTCTAGTCTCTAGTCGTCTATAGTCTAGTCTATAGTCTAGTCTATAGTCTAGTATAGTCTAGTCTATAGTCTAGTCTATAGTCTAGTCTATAGTCTAGTCTATAGTCTAGTCTATAGTCTAGTCTATAGTCTAGTCTATAGTCTAGTCTATAGTCTAGTCTATAGTCTAGTCTATAGTCTAGTCTATAGTCTAGTCTATAGTCTAGTCTATAGTCTAGTCTATAGTCTAGTCTATAGTCTAGTCTAGTCTAGTCTATAGTCTAGTCTATAGTCTAGTCTATAGTCTAGTCTATAGTCTAGTCTAGTCTAGTCTATAGTCTAGTCTATAGTCTAGTCTATAGTCTAGTCTATAGTCTAGTCTATAGTCTAGTCTATAGTCTAGTCTATAGTCTAGTCTATAGTCTAGTCTATAGTCTAGTCTATAGTCTAGTCTATAGTCTAGTCTATAGTCTAGTCTATAGTCTAGTCTATAGTCTAGTCTATAGTCTAGTCTATAGTCTAGTCTATAGTCTAGTCTATAGTCTAGTCTATAGTCTAGCTAGTCTATAGTCTAGTCTATAGTCTAGTCTATAGTCTAGTCTATAGTCTAGTCTATAGTCTAGTCTATAGTCTAGTCTATAGTCTAGTCTATAGTCTAGTCTATAGTCTAGTCTATAGTCTAGTCTATAGTCTAGTCTATAGTCTAGTCTATAGTCTAGTCTATAGTCTAGTCTATAGTCTAGTCTATAGTTAGTCTATAGTCTAGTCTATAGTCTAGTCTATAGTCTAGTCTATAGTCTAGTCTATAGTCTAGTCTATAGTCTAGTCTATAGTCTAGTCTATAGTCTAGTCTATAGTCTAGTCTATAGTCTAGTCTATAGTCTAGTCTATAGTCTAGTCTATAGTCTAGTCTATAGTCTAGTCTATAGTCTAGTCTATAGTCTAGTCTATAGTCTAGTCTATAGTCTAGTCTATAGTCTAGTCTATAGTCTAGTCCATAGTCTAGTCTATAGTCTAGTCTATAGTCTACTCTATAGTCTAGTCTATAGTCTAGTCTATAGTCTAGTCTATAGTCTAGTCTATAGTCTAGTCTATAGTCTAGTCTATAGTCTAGTCTAGTCTAGTCTATAGTCTAGTCTATAGTCTAGTCTATAGTCTAGTCTATAGTCTAGTCTATAGTCTAGTCTATAGTCTAGTCTATAGTCTAGTCTATAGTCTAGTCTATAGTCTAGTCTATAGTCTAGTCTATAGTCTAGTCTATAGTCTAGTCTATAGTCTAGTCTATAGTCTAGTCTATAGTCTAGTCTATAGTCTAGTCTATAGTCTAGTCTATTGTCTAGTCTATAGTCTAGTCTATAGTCTAGTCTATAGTCTAGTCTATAGTCTAGTCTATAGTCTAGTCTATAGTCTAGTCTATAGTCTAGTCTATAGTCTAGTCTATAGTCTAGTCTATAGTCTAGTCTATAGTCTAGTCTATAGTCTAGCCTATAGTCTAGCCTATAGTCTAGCCTATAGTCTAGTCTATAGTCTAGCCTATAGTCTAGTCTATAGTCTAGTCTATAGTCTAGTCTATAGTCTAGTCTATAGTCTAGTTTATAGTCTAGTCTATAGTCTAGTCTATAGTCTAGTCTATAGTCTAGCCTATAGTCTAGTCTATAGTCTAGTCTATAGTCTAGTTTATAGTCTAGTCTATAGTCTAGTTTATAGTCTAGTCTATAGTCTAGTTTATAGTCTAGTCTATAGTCTAGTCTAGTCTAGTCTATAGTCTAGTCTAGTCTAGTCTAGTCTAGTCTAGTCTAGTCTATAGTCTAGTCTAGTCTAGTCTAGTCTAGTCTAGTCTAGTCTAGTCTAGTCTATAGTCTAGCCTAGTCTAGTCTATAGTCTAGTCTATAGTCTAGTCTATAGTCTTGTCTATAGTCTAGTCTATAGTCTAATGCTAGTCTAAATTTCTATCTATAATATATTATATTTTACATATATTTTATTGAAAATAAATGTGAGTCACTGTTTCACAATTATTGCCATAACTAATTCGAACTAAAATAATTAAATAATTTTTATGCCATTATCAAACCATTAGCTCCACATTAAATAAATAATTCTTTATGATTGTTAATAGAAAAAAAACAACGACAGTAATTTTATTTTAATATCTTTTTAAATTTTTAAAATAATAGTTTGCTGTTTGTCGTTCATTGCATTATAATGAAACGTTTGTAGTGATTATTTTATAGTTACGACAAGTATTTTATATTTATAATTTTATTATTTTTTTCCATTTATTTATTTATTTGCAATTTGTTATGGCTGGAATACATTTAAACAAATCATTAAATTGTAGGGGATTTTTTATGATGGTGGGGCGAAACATGGTAAATAGTAATTTCATTTTAAATATAAATTATCAAACAATTGTTATTTATTGTTAAATACTTTAATGGTCTCTATTCAACAGCATTTATTATGATTATTTTTAATTCAATATTATTGCTGTTGGTTTTTATATATATTTTTGTAATAATACTATTTTTCTAATTTGTTTATAATTCTGCAGTTCCGGAGTAACTAGTAACGTTCGCTGGAGAAAATAAGAAACTTGCGCGGAATGTTGATATTAAGTGGAGATTGGAAAATTAGTCCAATGGTGCCTTGTTAGGCTGCATTGCTTGCGCTATCATTTAGTTTAATCATCTGGTTAATGACTTTTATAATAATTGTATATTATTAAATTATTATTATTGAATAATTATGGAAACTACATATTTGTTATTGTTTATGAATTAGTAACAACTAATTGAGGCAAATGTAAAAGTTTTGCTATTTAACGGAAACGGAAATGAAATAAATTAATAACATTCTGGAGAACTAAATTCTTATAAAAACATTTTTAAAATCAACTATCTTGTGAAACGATAGATAGGATAGATAGATAGATAGATAGATAGATAGATAGATAGATAGATAGATAGATAGATAGATAGATAGATAGATAGATAGATAGATAGATAGATAGATAGATAGATAGATAGATAGATAGATAGATAGATAGATAGATAGATAGATAGATAGATAGATGGATAGATAGATAGATAGATAGATAGATAGATAGAGAGAGATAGATAGATAGATAGATGATAGATGATAGATAGATAGATAGAAGATAGATAGATAGATAGATAGATAGATAGATAGATAGATAGATGATAGATAGATAGAGATAGATAGATAGATAGATAGATAGATAGATAGATAGATAGATAGATAGATAGATAGATAGATAGATAGATAGATAGATAGATAGTAGATAGATAGATAGATAGATAGATAGATAGATAGATAGAAGATAGTAGATAGATAGATAGATAGATAGATAGATAGATAGATAGATAGATAGATAGATAGATAGATAGATAGATAGATAGATAGATAGATAGATAGATAGATAGATAGATAGATAGATAGATAGATAGATAGATAGATAGATAGATAGATAGATAGATAGATAGATAGATAGATAGATAGATAGATAGATAGATAGATAGATAGATAGATAGATAGATAGATAGATAGATAGATAGATAGATAGATAGATAGATAGATAGATAGATAGATAGATAGATAGATAGATAGATAGATAGATAGATAGATAGATAGATAGATAGATAGATAGATAGATAGATAGATAGATAGATAGATAGATAGATAGATAGATAGATAGATAGATAGATAGATAGATAGATAGATAGATAGATAGATAGATAGATAGATAGATAGATAGATAGATAGATAGATAGATAGATAGATAGATAGATAGATAGATAGATAGATAGATAGATAGATAGATAGATAGATAGATAGATAGATAGATAGATAGATAGATAGATAGATAGATAGATAGATAGATAGATAGATAGATAGATAGATAGATAGATAGATAGATAGATAGATAGATAGATAGATAGATAGATAGATAGATAGATAGATAGATAGATAGATAGATGATAGATAGATAGATAGATAGATAGATAGATAGATAGATAGATAGATAGATAGATAGATAGATAGATAGATAGATAGATAGATAGATAGATAGATAGATAGATAGATAGATAGATAGATAGATAGATAGATAGATAGATAGATAGATAGATAGATAGATAGATAGATAGATAGATAGATAGATAGATAGATAGATATGGATGGATAGATTGTTAGCGAGGTAAGCTCCCACAAACGAAAAGACACTCATTAAATCAAACCTCTTCCATTAAAAAAGCTAATATTCTCCTTATTAACCCAAACGCTCTCACAAAAACTATTTAAAGAGATCTCTCAACTAAAAGAAACGGATGGCCACTCTAACAATTGTGCATTTTCCTTTTTGTATGAATTTTCTTTGAAAAATCTCAATGTAAAATTTCAAAATTTTTTCGTGCCATTGACATTGAAACAGATTTTGAACAAAATTAGTTTAATTGTAAAATTACGGACGGCATGTTTAACTAAAACTGAATCATTTTTATTTGTTTATAAAAAAAAATAACGAAAAATACACAAAATAATATTAAATAAAAAAAATTTAATTAAATTATTAATGTTTTTGCCAACCAATAAAAACAAAAATTAATAGTTTTAATTAAAAAAACAACAGATGATTTTCAACAAGAAAAACCTCCAAAAACCAAATTATTAATGTTAATCATAAAACATTACGCAAGAAATTTATTAAACAAGTAAGTGTAGTGTAAAAAATAATTTAAAAAAAATATAAAATAAAGAAATACAAACAACTAATTGCTGTAGTTTTTAGCTCAATTACCATGAGTAGGCCTGTTAATTTTGTAAAAAATATATTTTTTCTTTCAATTGCAATGCAAGTGCTTCAAAGTTAAAAAATTATTCATAAATTATTTATAAGTGCCTTAATTTAAATGATTGCACAATTTATGTATAAAAATGAAAAAAAAAAAATTATAACAAAAAATTGCAAAAACTATATAAATAAATGAAACCAGCTGTCTGTGCATTAATAAAGAAATAAATAAATGTAGAAAAAAAAACTCAAATAAAATTAAATTATATTTTTTTTTTGTATTTAATTCATTTCTAAATTTAAATCACGTGCCATGTTCATGATTTATTTCGTAAATGAATGTGAGTACAAGTGACCGCCGCACAAGAATTGGTGCGTATCGTAAAATGATTGAAAATGTGTTTTTCATTTAATTTCATCTACAATTGATGAATTCATTAGAGTCATACGAAATAAATTTGATTTATTTGATTTTTCATTAAAACGACAAAATTTGTTATTCATTTAATGACTTATGTATGTATTTTTCTTCTAAGAATTTCTATTAACAATTTACGATCAGGGGTATTGTTTGATAAATTGTTTTTATTATATCTTCTTACGAAATTGATTTCTTATTTAGGCAATTTAGAAATCTATAGGATTCGATAAGTGTGTTATGGGTTTTTGGCTGAGAAATTTTTCACACTACAACTGCGCATTATATTAGATACTTTTGGCTGCATTTGTTATAATATAAATACTTATGTATGTATGAATGTAAGTATGTACTTGTTATAGTAGTGCTTATGTATTACACTTAGCCATGACCTATAAAATATCCTATTATAATCGATTGAGTTTTCAAATTACGCGCCATTAGCTATTTATCAAAATTCTTTTGTGTATTTGGAGCCAACTAGTATGTAACGATGCTCTCGGTGATACTTACGGCGTAATTGTTTGAACGTAATATGTCTCAATAGCCATTTCTTATGCAAGATATGTGTGCATAAAATATTTGTAGTAGATTCGATATGAAGGCCAAATTAGCTGACAACTTAAGAATTCTAATAATTCAGAAGTCATTGTACCATGATCAGACTTTAGACATCGGTCATTACGGTATGTTTGCCAGAAATTTTGGAGACCATCTGGAACTACATGCTCGATTTTAAAAATACATTATCTCTATATAGGTGCAGTAGTGAGCAATGGACTGGGACTGCGGTTAGCCTTGTAGCACTACGCAGTCGATTTCTTAAGACCTCTTGGATATTTTAAAACTTATTTAATATGTCCATTAACCCATCTTGTACCTAAACATTGGTGGTGACATGAGGTAAGTTTGTTTGTAGTTTATCACAAATGAACCGTATATTAAAACCCAAATGATTCAAGCTGAAATAACTCCACCTGCTTATCAAGCTGCCAAACCATTGAAATACTATTCTGAATCACTTGGAGAAATAAACATTTTCAATATAAAGCCAGTCGCCTCCTGAGAAATTGAAAGTAACGAGCTCCACTTACGCGCTTAATGGGTGTGATTTAACTATCATAGTTAGTTAGTTAGTTAGTTAGTTAGTTAGTTAGTTAGTTAGTTAGTTAGTTAGTTAGTTAGTTAGTTAGTTAGTTAGTTAGTTAGTTAGTTAGTTAGTTAGTTAGTTAGTTAGTTAGTTAGTTAGTTAGTTAGTTAGTTAGTAGTTAGTTAGTTAGTTAGTTAGTTAGTTAGTTAGTTAGTTAGTTAGTTAGTTAGTTAGTTAGTTAGTTAGTTAGTTAGTTAGTTAGTTAGTTAGTTAGTTAGTTAGTTAGTTAGTTAGTTAGTTAGTTAGTTAGTTAGTTAGTTAGTTAGTTAGTTAGTTAGTTAGTTAGTTAGTAGTTAGTTAGTTAGTTAGTTAGTTAGTTAGTTAGTTAGTTAGTTAGTTAGTTAGTTAGTTAGTTAGTTAGTTAGTTAGTTAGTTAGTTAGTTAGTTAGTTAGTTAGTTAGTTAGTTAGTTAGTAGTAGTTAGTTAGTTAGTTAGTTAGTTAGTTAGTTAGTTAGTTAGTTAGTTAGTTAGTTAGTTAGTTAGTTAGTAGTAGTTAGTTAGTTAGTAGTTAGTTAGTTAGTTAGTTAGTTAGTAGTTAGTTAGTTAGTTAGTTAGTAGTTAGTTAGTTAGTTAGTTAGTTAGTTAGTTAGTTAGTTAGTTAGTTAGTTAGTTAGTTAGTTAGTTAGTTAGTTAGTTAGTTAGTTAGTTAGTTAGTTAGTTAGTTAGTTAGTTAGTTAGTTAGTTAGTTAGTTAGTTAGTTAGTTAGTTAGTTAGTTAGTTAGTTAGTTAGTTAGTTAGTTAGTTAGTTAGTTAGTTAGTTAGTTAGTTAGTTAGTTAGTTAGTTAGTTAGTTAGTTAGTTAGTTAGTTAGTTAGTTAGTTAGTTAGTTAGTTAGTTAGTTAGTTAGTTAGTTAGTTAGTTAGTTAGTTAGTTAGTTAGTTAGTTAGTTAGTTAGTTAGTTAGTTAGTTAGTTAGTTAGTTAGTTAGTTAGTTAGTTAGTTAGTTAGTTAGTTAGTTAGTTAGTTAGTTAGTTAGTTAGTAGTTAGTTAGTTAGTTAGTTAGTTAGTTAGTTAGTTAGTTAGTTAGTTAGTTAGTTAGTTAGTTAGTTAGTTAGTTAGTTAGTTAGTTAGTTAGTTAGTTAGTTAGTTAGTTAGTTAGTTAGTTAGTTAGTTAGTTAGATAGTTAGTTAGTTAGTTAGTTAGTTAGTAGTTAGTAGTTAGTTAGTAGTTAGTTAGTTAGTTAGTTAGTTAGTTAGTTAGTTAGTTAGTTAGTTAGTTAGTTAGTTAGTTAGTTAGTTAGTTAGTTAGTTAGTTAGTTAGTTAGTTAGTTAGTTAGTTAGTTAGTTAGTTAGTTAGTTAGTTAGTTAGTTAGTTAGTTAGATAGTTAGTTAGTTAGTTAGATAGTTAGTTAGTTAGTTAGTTAGTTAGTTAGTTAGTTAGTTAGTTAGTTAGTTAGTTAGTTAGTTAGTTAGTAGTTAGTTAGTTAGTTAGTTAGTTAGTTAGTTAGTTAGTTAGTTAGTTAGTTAGTTAGTTAGTTAGTTAGTTAGTTAGTTAGTTAGTTAGTTAGTTAGTTAGTTAGTTAGTTAGTAGTTAGTTAGTTAGTTAGTTAGTTAGTTAGTTAGTTAGTTAGTTAGTTAGTTAGTTAGTTAGTTAGTTAGTTAGTTAGTTAGTTAGTTAGTTAGTTAGTTAGTTAGTTAGTTAGTTAGTTAGTTAGTTAGTTAGTTAGTTAGTTAGTTAGTTAGTTAGTTAGTTAGTTAGTTAGTTAGTTAGTTAGTTAGTAGTTAGTTAGTTAGTTACTTTCTTCACTAACTGATACTAAATTTTTGAGGCCACAAAGCCCACACCTGCTACACAGTTTGGTGCGGATTACTAAAGTAAGAGTAAAATAAACAATAATTAAATTTACACAGAATCTATTAAATATTCATACCAAAATGAAAACCGCAAACGTTTTAAGATGCAAAAATAAATAATTAAATGGCCTTAAACAAATTTACATTCATACATTTTCAAGTGAAATCATTTCGTTTTAAAATTTAAATATTTTATTAGTTTAAACGTACTCATTTCATTTTCACTTGTAAATTTGCTAAATAAACAAAATTTACTTAAAATGCGTTTCTTGAAAATGCTGATTCACTACTTAGGAGCTAAATAATATAATCTTTTAGGCGGATTTGTATAACATTTTATAAGTCATAAATGTAAATTTAATACTTTACAGTGAATTTTATGCAGGAAAAAAATTCAATTAAAAGTTAAATGGATTTAAAATTCAAGGTAAATATGACATAAGTACATGACAATTGAATGGATTCAGAGTAGTAGAGATTAAGAATTTCAAAGCTACCAACTAGAAGTCCAGTCTATAGTCAAGTTTATAGTCTAGTCTATAGTCTAGTCTATAGTCTAGTCTATAGTCTAGTCTATAGTCTAGTCTATAGTCTAGTCTATAGTCTAGTCTATAGTCTAGTCTATAGTCTAGTCTATAGTCTAGTCTATAGTCTAGTCTATAGTCTAATCTATTGTCTAGTCTATAGTCTAGTCTATAGTCTAGTCTATAGTCGAGTCTATAGTCTAGTCTATAGTCTAGTCTATAGTCGAGTCTATAGTCGAGTCTATAGTCGAGTCTATAGTCTAGTCTATAGCCTAGTCTATAGTCTAGTCTATAGTCTAGTCTACTCTATAGTCTAGTCTACTCTATAGTCTAGTCTATAGTCGAGTTTATAGTCGAGTCTATAGTCTAGTCTATAGTCTAGTCTATAGTCTAGTCTATAGTCTAGTCTATAGTCGAGTCTATAGTCTAGTATATAGTCTAGTCTATAGTCTAGTCTATAGTCTAGTCTATAGTCTAGTCTATAGTCTAGTCTATAGTCTAGTCTATAGTCTAGTCTATAGTCTAGTCTATAGTCTAGTCTATAGTCTAGTCTATAGTCTAGTCTATAGTCTAGTCTATAGTCTAGTCTATAGTCTAGTCTATAGTCTAGTCTATAGTCGAGTCTATAGTCGAGTCTATAGTCGAGTCTATAGTCTAGTCTATAGTCTAGTCTATAGTCTAGTCTATAGTCGAGTCTATAGTCGAGTCTATAGTCGAGTCTATAGTCTAGTCTATAGTCTAGTCCATAGTCTAGTCCATAGTCTAGTCTATAGTCTAGTCCATAGTCCATAGTCTAGTCCATAGTCTAGTCTATAGTCTAGTCTATAGTCTAGTCTATAGTCTAGTCTATAGTCTAGTCTATAGTCGAGTCTATAGTCTAGTCTATAGTCTAGTCTATAGTCTAGTCTATAGTCTAGTCTATAGTCTAGTCTATAGTCTAGTCTATAGTCTAGTCTATAGTCTAGTCTATAGTCTAGTCTATAGTCGAGTCTATAGTCGAGTCTATAGTCTAGTCTATAGTCTAGTCTATAGTCTAG